AGCGCCACGTTGCCGACCGTCGAGAGCTGTCGGAAGTTGGTAATGGATAGGACTAGATGATGATCTGCGCAGAACTGAAGAAGTCGATCGCCGTTATCTGTTCGTTGACAGGGCAGAGCAAAACTATCGCCTAGGCAAGCTTCTGATGCACTCACGTTTCCAACGTGCGCGTTGAAGTCACCTGGAGGTACAGCTATGTCGGAGCTTCGACTCATCCGAATGAGGTCGGTGAGTTCATCGTAGAAAGCTCAGTGTCTCTAACCACCGGTTACGATCATCCCAAGGTCCTCAGCGAGGGAGCCTTATAGGACCTATGTGATCCAGTGTCCTGTTTAGAGTTTTTATGCCCTCATGCCAGGTCGTAGTTTTCGATCCGCATGCATCGCTTGCCGTGGCAACCTGTTTGGTGACATGCGCAGCACGTGTCCCACCCAGCGTAATCTATGGATGTTGAACACTTGATCCAGTGGACTACCACTGAACTGTTACAGGTGATTGCATCACCACATCTTTTCGTTAGGTGTATGCAGTCGGAGATTTTGATTTGCCTGATATAGACGATGAAACTTAGATGCTTTCAAGGTAGCCAGGATTAGCAGTGTTTAGAGTGCGGAAAATCTTTTCAAAGTGCTGAACTCTCAACATCTCGGAGCATTCCCGCTGATTGTCCGCAACAGTTTGTTCATTAGACATAAACCCACCTTATTCACGGCGACCGTTCCTCAATCAGTAAACCGCCAATACACTTGGTAGCACACGGCTCTACTCTTCAGAGAATCGTTGGAATACCAACGTTTTGGTAAGTTGGAGAGAACCCTCGTCACGTTGTGGTCAGGGCAGTGTGAGATTGTACGAATCGCTTTTGTGAACTACGACTGAACTTGAAATCGTTTTCCCTGTACCTTTGCGCGGCCAGACCGGTTTGTGTTCCTTGATTCTTAGGGACAAAGGCCTGATCGTTCTGCCTACATATATTGCCAAATATGCGCAAAGGAAATAGGTGATCATGGGTGATACATAGACAGACAATCTATCTTTAAGGTTCACCGGTTGACTTATGAAATGGGCACGTAGTGAGGCGGCCGAAAAGGTTCGGGAGATCGCTTTTTGTGAACATCGCGTCCACATCGTAATCATTTTCCCAACCGTGTTAGGAACACATCCACCCACCCTTTCCAAACCACACTCGGAATCACATGTGGACATTGAAGCACATTTTAATTTTAATTTGACCACATAACCGCATTAGCCCGAAGTTGTCGAAAACGAGCTTGTTCTCTAAAACCACTGTGTTTTCTCTCCATGTCAAGATGGGAATTTTCCGTGATTGCAACGAACTGCTTGTGGCACGAAAAACAGATCTCACGTATTTTGTGGTGTATTTAAGTTCTCAGTTGGATTTACAAAACTTCAGCCGTCTTGTGAAAACAGGAGAATGAACCTTAAAAATATCATGTATGCATGTTTGTACATTCTTGGTGAAAAATGTGACTATTCACCTGGTGAACAACAGAAGGGTGGTTTCCACAACATATCTCTTGTTATGCATCTCAGTTTAATGAGCACTGAAAGGATTGAACACCATAGTTACAATACCCCACTGCGGAATATTCCGTTGTGTAGGAAGTAGACGAAAAACTGGTCTGTCGGGTCTTCCCCTGCTTCCGATTACGCGTAAAATCTGTTATGTTCAAACAAATTGGTCCGTATACGGTGTATTAGTGTGTTGTTATGCTGCTGTTGCTCGAGCAGTTCACGTCGTAGTTCCTGGCTTACTTTACCCCTAAAGCCCAAGGTCATACTCTGTCACCAACACCCAACTGTGTGGACGGACAACTTTGTTGTTATTCAGATCATTACCAAACATCTTAATGGGGCCGTGTAGGGTCCCGTACTCCAACTTTTAAGGTTGTTTAATATTGCGGGTGGACAGTAAATCCTCCTCTTGCTGTTCACCATCAGACCAAATGCTAAGTACAGCGTTTCAATACATTTTCTGTCAGCGAACTGCTGGAAAGCATGGGTTGAGAGGTAACAAGTTTTTTTCCTCTTCTGTGGGCAATCACTTCTTAACATCCATATCGGCTATTCTTACCAATATGAGTTCTCATCGAACTTCTCTGCAATCCTTTCTTGTTTGCACTCAGGTACAAAGGTCTGCTTTAGATAAGACGTTTCCCGTAGCCCACCTCGTTACAACCTCCCTAGACTTGTCTGTGAAGTCTGTTCTTTGTATATTTCTGATAATTCTTCTACTTCCGGCTTGGTTGATCAATCGCGTCTTCTCCAGAAGTTGGTCCTTTGTTTATCCCCTTCCTCCGAGATAAAATGATTAAGTAATACAAAGCACTAAGTTGGGTAGGAACTTGTTTATTGGTAAATAGCTATGATGTACTCCGGTATTTGTATTTCACCCTCACCTGAATGCAAACTGTCTGCCAAACAAAATACAGTACAGCAAATAAATAAAGAGTAATTTTCACGAATTACTCGTGAACGGAATACTGCCAGGTAGCTCAGGCCAAGGCAGGTGTATTTTCTTGAGGAAATCACAACCGGAGCATTTGATTAGCCATCATTTGACCCACAAGGCAGCGGGTTGGTGTATGAAAAAAGCAATCCATTGAGGATCGGTGTCCAGTCTCGCGTGACTTTTCAAAGTTCTTCGAGTGAGTTTGACACGGTGTACTGGCGAAACTATCCATGTTCAAGGTTCCCTCCGGTACTCGTAGCATGGATATCAAGTTTCCTCATTAAGCGAACCGCCCGAGTTGTTTGGGTTCTATCTCAGCCGTTCCGCGAATGCTGGTGTTCCCTGAGGTTCAGTACTTGCGCCCACTCCTTTTCTTCTATTTATCAATGAGTGGTGGTGGCACAGTAGTTTGGTCGCTGTCACCGGCATGTTTAGGACTCTGTGGTCCGAAGTTCGAGCCCCGCAACCGCCACCCAACATTGGTGGTAGACAGCTTTGCTGTCGCTCGGTTCTATACCACGTCTGACCTAGCGGGGTCTAATGTGGTTCACCACTCCAAGTTCCGGGGTCTAGATTACCGGTTATCATCACTGAACGGCAGGTCTTCGTGACTGTGGGGTTCCTCTCCGTCTGCTGTCCATCACCCATCGATGTGTAATAAAAAAATCTACTTCCCAAAACTCTCAGCCTGATCCATTCTTTTGCCGATGACGCCACCATCCACTGCTCTCTCTCCTACCACAATACTCTCTATGCCCAAACCAACATCGGTCGTGACCCTAGTGCAGTTAATGTATCAGTCGACTTCGATCTTGAACACATCTCCTGAGGTATTGCAAACCGCGTTTCATTCATTAGTTCTAAAACCCCTCTTCATTCAATTTCTTTAAACACCATTTATTCTCCCCTAGTTATCTTTGAACTCCACTCAACTGCTTTCCACAGACTCTGTTTACCTTCTTGGCCTGCCTTTTATAGCTCAGCAGATTTCTCGTGCTGCGCACATGGTTAGATTTCTATTTCGCGCCAAATGTTTTTTTTCCACTCCAGGTCATCTTTTTTATTGTACAAAGCTGAAATCCGTTTTGCTCTTAAATACTGTAGTCACGTTTGGGGCAGGGCTTCGTCTTCCTCTCTTTCCCTTTTTGACCGTGTTCAACGATAGGCCATTCGGCTAATCGATGATCCTTCTCTAACATCCAGTCTGCAGTAGCCCATTGTTGGGCAGTTGTTTCACTATCCCTTCTCTACCGTTACTACTTTGGTTTTTCTTCTTCGGAACTTGTCTCGGCAGTTCCTCTTCCTGCAACTTTTACTCCCTCATCCCGTCCATAGGTATCTAGTCATCCTTATCGAATTTTAGTTCCTAGATGTCTTATTTCTCTGCTCCAATCTTCTTTTTTCCCCCGAACTGCCAAGTTGTGTAACACCACTTTCTTTCTTTTTTATTACACACCAGTGTATGTTGAACAGCAGTCAGGGCTGACCCCATAATCATGAAGACCTGCGGTTCAGAGATGGTAACCGGCAACCTAAGTCCCGGGACTCGGAGTGGTGAACCACATAAGGCCCCGCTTGGTCAGACGTTATAGAACCGGGTAACAGCAAAGCTGTGTACCACCAAATTGGGTGGTGGTTGCGGGGCTCGAACTTCGAACTACAGGTTCTAAAGCACACCGGTAACAGGGACTAAACCAGTGCACCCCAACTTATAACCTTACACTCTTCTAACGCAGAATCAATTAGCTGGATCTTACATAAATGTTCCCCCACCTTCTATTTTACAGTATGATGGCGGATGGGAATTTTCCCTTTTACTCTAACTCAAATTATGTATAATAAAAAATCGGGTCATACGCCATTTGGATGGGGTCCAAGGTCCAGGGTTCGCAGTATACCTTGATACTCAATCAAACCGATGACCACTGCTACTGTTATAATTCCAAAAGGCGGTGCTGGCCGAGGATAATTGTTTATTGAACATTTTAGATGGGACATCACCAATTTGGCATGCATAACACGAAAATCTAATCAGAATCACACGATCGCAGTTCCTGGCCATACGACGGGTAAGGAATAAATCGATAAATCGATAGTTCTTCTCTGAAACCAGGCAAATCGCCCTCGGTGACCTTGTAGATTTTTGGTCGTTGAAAGTAATCACCAACTATGTTACCTACTACTCACGAGTGAGTATTATCTCACAACACTACGAAAGAAACTAATAGAGTAAATGACCTTTGCCTACTCTTCGTGTGATTTTATTTTTCAATACCATGGTGTACAATGAAAATGGTTTCATTGTTGAACAACCTGAATTTGTAGCAACTACCTCCGATACGAGCGTAACATCCCTTCGTCGTTTAATAAACTAGTCATTCTTGCTGGAGAATATTGATCCGTCGTTGGTTAATTGAAATGATTGCGAATAAAACGAATTTATTTTGACTTTTCAGGTCTTGGTAAATAATATGACCTCCCGCGCTTATTGGATGTATCAGTGATCATCCAGTCACGAATTGGCATCATGCTGGAATCATGGTTTCGGTTGGGTGATGCGCCTTTTGCACGCGTCAATCATCAGGCTATTTTTCTGAACGGTTGTCTCTACGTCTTTGGTGGTTTCAACTCTCAACTGCGGGATATCAACTACAATTCGCATCAGCTGGATGTTTTTAAATGGAATGTCCGTAAGTTTCCATCACTTCTTCAAGTGCAATTTCTAGATCACAACAAATGGGAGGAATTAAAATATCCATTGCGTTTAAAAGCTTGGGATTGTAACACCAAAACGTGGACATCAGATCCTCTGTCCTCGGTACGTTCGTTCCTCTTCCACCTTATTCCGTTCAATGTTTATTGCTTGTTCCTTTGTTTTGCTAAACACTTCGCGTTTTGAGGCCTCCATCTGCATGTTCCGGATCAGCCTGCCACCTGGTAGCAGTTGTCCTCACACCAAGACAAGGCTGTATCCCGAATCAAATCTGTAGCTAAAGTAAATAGAAAACGCACACGAGAGAGAGGGCAACCCCGACAAAAACCGCTTTCTCTGATGAACTTGAACGAAAAAGTTCCGTCAGCTCCGGTTCGGCTTTTGTTCTTAGTATACAGAGATGATAATTTTGAAATAGATTTCTCGGGGTCACCGTTATGGGGAAGGCAGTGTGAGGACTACTTTCAGATCGAGGAAGATAAGAAACGTGCATCTGCGAAAGCAATATCGGTGTTTCAGAATTTGGTGAAGGGTCAAAATGTGGTCTGTACAAGCTCAACCGGTTTTCAAATCAGCCTGGTTTGCACGTTTGTATCACCAACTACCGCGTGATTCATAGACATCCTCTTGCATTTCTGAGCTAATGAAATTGATGTTTACTTCCAATTGAAACTTGACTTACGAATGTGGCGTCTTCACTGTGAACGAAATCGCTGTGTTGCTGTTTGCTTCTCCTCCAAAAATCAATGTTTTTATCTGATCTAGCGCTTGTTTAATCTTTTACTGATTTTGTCCCCCTTATTCAACATCCCTGTTTACACACTTCTCAGGAATGCGATTAGAGCTATTGAACAAACTTACCGGAGAAATAAGATAACAGCTGTGTAGAACACTGGTCCTTTATACAGTTTGGTCACCATCACCCCGTACATCGGTCCATTCAACATTTCAACGTCCACTTATAATGTGAGCCTTTTCAGAAGCACAACCATCATTTACTCAAATATCCTCCCCCCACCGTACAGTATCGTTTGAATACGATTTACTTCTTTTCTATCGTACCATGTGTACTTTTTAAATATTATATTTAGTTATCATTTGGCCCATTTAATAATTGAATACTACATACTTCACGCTGGAACTCGTTCAGTTCGATGTACCAATAATCGTTATCATTAGTTTATTGAAGGGAGTTTAAACTTGAATAGGTGGAGTGCAAGGGAGCGTTATCAGTATGATTTGAGGAAAGATGGCGGACGATAGAGTGAGAACAATAATGTTCGGAGTTCAGTTGTATTTTTACACTCAGCAGACTGAGTGTGGCTCTCACTCTCGAGTGTTTGGCTTTCTGTTAGCATCAGGGTCCTATCGTGACCTCCCAACAGTGCACATTAGATCAAACCGGGAAATCTTCGGGTCATCTTGATCTATCCAACTTGTCAAGTGGTTAATGTCACTAACTTATCATCCCTTCAGGTCCCCTTTCTCCTTGTAATCCATGTCTGTCCTTTGATTGACCATTTCCCACTGCACGAAAATGTAGTCGTGCATAGAAAGAAGCAAACAAGCAAAAAATAACAACAACAGACAACGAGCCTATCAGTTTAGTTTTGATGTGATCGTGCTAAACCATCAGCTGAAATCTGGTCTCTGATTCCTTCTGTTTTGCTTCCAAAAGATGTGTGGAACTTTCATTTTCCATTGTGGGAAGTACAGTTTTGGTGGCCCCAAATTACACGATTCAGACATACTGACCTAGGGCATGTATTATCTATTAAACTGTACTGCATTAGTTCGCCTGTTTGCCACTCTCTGCAAACATGGGGTGGTTTATTCAGTGCCCTTGCATTTTTACTTAGGTCCCCAAGGATTTCTAGGTCGATTTGGATCTTAGTATTTCTGATACCGTTATCCCATTGCTTTCGGATAATATTTCTGCCAATGATGATCACTAGTTGCTTTACCCAGTTCCCCCAAGTTGAATTGTAAATGTTCGCACCCGTTACTGCTCGACGACACTCGGAGCTCAGCAATTCACAATGAATGGGCGCGCTAAAATCGGATGCACCCGCTTAACTGCTTTTTATTTCGCATTTGAGACACAACGGAAACCAATCGCGCTTCAGTTAGGATACGACTTTTGTCATCCTTTTTACATCAGTTACTTGCGTTCCCTTTTTTCCAGCCGGACGGATCCATCAATCCTACTTTACGTTTCGGTCATACAGTGGTTGCTTGGCGTGGACGTGGTTGGCTTTTCGGTGGTCGAACTCAACAGCATGTCTGTCCAAATCAACTGTACCTGTTCGAACCGGGCTATTATTCACATTCCTCAGCAGCCGTGACCGTGAACAATCTGGAATGCAAAAAATTGCTCAAAACGACCATCGATATTATTCATCCATGCTGGGCTGAAGTTGTCGGTACAACTGGAGCACCTCCGAGTCCTCGGGACGGTCATGCAGCTACTGTTTTGGAGAATGCGATGTTCATTTTCGGTGGCTTCCAAGATGTGGTAAGCAACTCCCTCCCCCCTTCCCCCACGGAGATCAGTTTCTGTTTAGTCCAGTGTGAAATCGAAAAACTCACTTGATCAGTCGTCGGACGTGGGTGCGGTTGCTTTTAATTGATCAGCATGGAATTTTCCCACTGTGGTTCCACTCCAAATGGTTCAGTTGGTAGTCACAACCCTGTGTGTGCTTGGGCCAAACGAAAGCATTTCGGCTGACGATAGAAAGTTTTGTAATTTAATTGCAATAAATCGGCCACCCAATGGACACTAAGCGGTGTCCTTAGCGGCATCGGTGATGGTGGACTTGGTGACGCTTGGATACCTTTAACAAGAGCATTAAGACTGATCGCCGAGCTCTCCAAACAACTTATCTGTAGTCTGCCATTCTTATTTTCTTTTATGATCTACGATTCTTCGTTCTTTCCCCGTTCGGTATTTTTAATGCAGTGTATACTCCTACACTTAATTCGTTTATATTGTTGAGCGCCTTGTCGTGTACTAGAGCAAAGTGGTAAGCATGCTCATTTTTGGATGACTGATGACCCAAAAATGTGGTCCAATACTGTCTTGCTCGATTAACTTATTATTTTCACACACCTCCAGGTCCAGACTGTGTGCCAACCAAATCATGGAACAATAATTTTTATGGAAAGAAAGACGATCCATGGTTTGTATGTGAGTGGAATACTGCCAGGTTGCCCAGGCCAGGCCAGGGTTGGTGAATTTTCTTGAGAAATCCACAATCGGAGCCTTTGGCTAGCCAAAGCCTTGGTTGCTTTGAAATCAGGGTTTTTGGCCAACTCCCCTAGGTGATCTACCAATGGTCCACCAACCCTGTTATAACCCCGGGGTGTCTACCTTTCATCTTCTCACCTTGGTGCGAAAACACCGCCAGTGAGTAGGGCATCGACACCAACCCCCAACCATACGGAGGTTTTCGGAGGCTGCTCAATTAACTGACCCACTATCTGAATATATAAGTTAGAAATGGGTTTGCGTAATTTGTTCATGGTCATTTCGCTGCATCTGCACTCGTGTATACTACAGAGGTGAAGACAAGATCGCTAATCACAACGGACGATAAGACACACTAGTACAGTGAACGACAGAGGATAGGGTTTAATCACCAAGACAAAGCCTTGGTCAAGTGTGAGCTCACATGACCAACAAGCTCATAATAGCTGATGAAATACGAATACATCTAACTTGATCAATCATCTTTTGACCGCTTGTTCTTGAGCAACATGAATTTTAAGTTGAAAATGCTGTCTGCTCAAGTTGATGAATCATATTGAGGCGATTGCATATACAGTCCATGTCTGTCATTGTTCGGTGGTAGTGATCCAATGACATGGGGCTCATTTGAGGAAACAAACTGGCCCAACATGCCTAGCCGCTCGGGCAGGGCTTCAGTGATTTTGGCCTGCGATTGGATGAGGTGCTTAATCTCAGAATTGCGTTTTTACATCCTGCGTGGACGAAGACCCGGCAGATTTGGCGACAGGGTATTCAATGCATGCGTCGCATGCACTCCAATGTAACCCTCATTTCGGAAGATACCTGGCGAGCACAGGGTTCGCCAGCTATCCAACCGTCGTCGTTGTCTGGGACGAACGCACGCGGCGGTTCCGTGCAGTTAACCGGGCAACTGCACTGCCGTCTGTTGTGTCCCCAATCCGCGATCAAATCCACTTGTTTCATGAACCGTTGCGGTCTCAACCTTCTGGGTCTTGGTGGGCTTGAGGAGCTCGGACTGTCCAAGCTGTCAGTCAACGTTATTTGCAACGCCCTACAAGCGCTAAGGGTTCCCCACAAACCCGTCAGCCGTCAACCTCCGGACAGTTCTACACAGTCCACTCGCTTTTCCGTCTTTTCCGTTGAAAGGAAGAGAACAACGACGCTGACACACCGTCGCAATCAGCCTGACGTCTGATCCGTCTTGACGAAAGGTTCCACCGCTAACTGCTACCTCTCCAATCCGCCCAAGACCAACCTTGATTGCGACATCTCTGTCTGCCATCGGAAGGTGCTCCGACCGCGAACAGCAGATGCGACCCTTCAAACCGACGTCTCTGTGGAGCCAAGCACTCCAAAAAGGGTAGATGATGGGGAAAAAAACATTTTCCCTTTAAAAGTGATTATTTCCTCCTATTTTTCCTTATTTTTCTAATTATATTTATGAAATCTGAATTTCCAGATTTTGGCGCCAAGGAAGACTCATACCACACCACCGGCTATATTCGATCATCAGTGGTCCATTTCTCCATGACTGGCTACTTTTGAGCTATTTCCCAAAGTCATTGCTGGCCCAAAAATGCTGGCCCCAAGCGATGTTTCCAGCCTCCGATCNGAAGTTCGCCCCCCCCCTCCTGAACAAACTGCTGGGAAAAGACTATCCTTGGCAATGATCCGCTTCATGTCAAGCTGTGTTCGACGAATTGAAGAGATTGCTCACCTCTGACTTGCTGCTGACACACTATAACCCAAAGCTTCCGCTGGTTTTAGCTGCCGACACATGCAACAACGGTATCGGGGTCGTCATCTCGCACATTTTCCCTGAGCCCTTTGAAATGCTTTATAACCAGTTTGCAGCAGACAAGAAGGACAGATACAAAGAAGTTCAGCTGGTCACAAGGGAGCACCTTGATAACGGATATACACCAGGTCTTCCACTCGTAATTCGTCAGAAACTTAAAAACCTCTCTGTTTCGAAGCCAGAAGGATAGCGGGGACCGCCACAAGTATGTCATCTTGTTGCCACAACACACCACCAGACATGGACTGTATATGCAATCGCCTCAATATGATTCATCAACTTGAGCAGACAGCATTTTCAATTTAAAATTCATGTTGCTCAAGAACAAGCGGTCAAAAGATGATTGATCAAGTTAGATGTATTCGTATTTCATCAGCTATTATGAGCTTGTTGGTCATGTGAGCTCACACTTGACCAAGGCTTTGTCTTGGTGATTAAACCCTATCCTCTGTCGTTCACTGTACTAGTGTGTCTTATCGTCCGTTGTGATTAGCGATCTTGTCTTCACCTCTGTAGTATACACGAGTGCAGATGCAGCGAAATGACCATGAACAAATTACGCAAACCCATTTCTAACTTATATATTCAGATAGTGGGTCAGTTAATTGAGCAGCCTCCGTATGGTCGGGGGTTGTTGTCTAGGGTTGCGGCTGGTCACCCTTCCCGCTTGCACCTCCTGAAACGCTCCCATACGACGAACTTCTGCTGAGGAAACCCTACTCACGGGCGGAGTTGTTTTCCCACCAAAGTGAGAGGACCAATAGACTACATCGGAGGCTGCGATACGACCTTGCATTTTTTAACGTTGTATTCGGTGTCCTTAGTGAAGGATCATCGGTGAGCTGCGTCGAGAGTTTCTTGTAGGGTCTGATAATCTTCAGGGTGTTGTACCGTCCTTCATGTTTTGGTGTCGTCAGCGAATTTTTGATATATTTTCTGCAAGGTGGGTCGTTAATAAATGCCAGGAAAAGGAAAAGGTTCTCATCCTTGTTGGACTCCACGACAGCCTCAATCGGTCCCGTTAGAGAAGCATGAACTGGAAACAATACGGTAGTTTTCGAAGAATTTCCTCAATCCAGTCAAGGAGCTGTCCTGGAACACCATAGTCATGGAGCTTTCGCGGAACTATGCGGTGGTTAACTCGGTTCAAACCTTTGGAGAATTCTGAGTAAAGGAAGTTGCATGAAAATCTGTGAATTCGCTCGCGGATTCGTGAATCGACTTTATCCACAAAATGCACCGGGTTAGCACCAACCCCGTACATTCTGCTCTGTTTTCTTGCCACTTCAACTAAAACACGTTCTAGCTCTCGGTATACTATCACTACACAATAACCCATGTTATGTGGGTGATTTGCATAATCACGACCAAGGGGAAAGGAGTTACTGAACTGCACCATAGACTTGATGTTCAAAGTTCAGTAGTTCGTCCTCAAAACAGTTCTTTTTTTAGTTTTGAACTCTTCATTTCATTCTGTATCCATTGCGCAGACCCAGTGGAGTCGTTTCCAGGGACTATTTTTGATGGAAATTTATGCGAGTGAGCATCATTCAATTACGAATGCAGTGGCGTTCCCGTGTTTGCAAATTAGCCATGGTAGATTGTACGTTGTTCAACCTTTCGTACAATGTGCTCCAGCCACCTCACGATGCGGTGTAAGTTAACTATATCTGTCTTCGTTGTTGTCTAGCCCGAATGAACTCACTGACTATCACTTAGGACAACACCTAAACAATTTGTCTCAACTCTGTTATGAGTTGGTTGGCACAGTGGTAACACGCGACTTCCATGTGATAGGTCTAGATTTCAAAGCGTGGACAGGTCGGTGTATATGGACTGGGTGGTGGTAGGTTTATACCTGACAGATTCCCAAGCACACGACGGCTTACCTCCACGTTACCAACCCGTTCGCTCCATCCAACGTGGGTTGAACTGCGTCTCACAACCATGAAGCAGTGAGACCCTGAATTTGCGAGTAGAAGGTATCCGTCGACTGGAAGTTCTCGATTATCGGTGTTTACGCAGTTTAACCCACGTTGGATGGAGCGAACGGGTTAGTAACGTGGAGGTAGGCCATCGTGTGTTTGGGAGTCTGTCACGTATAAACC